CTACATCCAGTGCATGCACGAGGTGCACACCTTCGTCTCCAGCTGCCCCGGCATCGACGCCACCACGGCCGCCGAGCTGCTCAACCACCTGCTGGAGTCCATGCCCCTCGACGAGGGCGGCTTCCCGGACTTGATGGCGGACGTTTTGGCAGATCCCGGCCCCTGGCCCGGCAGCGAGGTGTTGGCCCCGGTGGCCGAGGCCGCCCTGGGCCTGGCCGTCCCCGCCTCGGCACCTTCGCCCTCCCCCAGCGAAGAGACCTGCTCCGACTCGGACGAGGCGGAGGCTGAGGGGAGCCAGACCTCCACCGACGGACTGGACGCTTCCCAGACACGCGGCCTGCCTTCGCCTAGCTTACCCAAATCCATGTGGAGACCTTGGTAACGGAGGAGCGCGCCGGAGTCAACACAGACCTACCTAGCGGGGAGAGCAGCCGGGCCCCACGCTCCCCTCCGGGCCACCGCCAGCCTGCATGCCTGCGGCTGGCAGCGCTGCCTTCGGGGACTGCATCCATGGCACTCGTACGCTGTCACGCCATGACAGGCTAATAGCTGAAACGCGTTAACATTTCATCCCTGTGTGTGCGCGGTGGTTTGTAACGTTAGGGGTTGTTTTTTATGGGGGGGGGAGGGGAGGAGGGAGTTGGTTTTTAGTAGCAAAGCTCTTCAGTGGATACACAGCAGTTATTTTATAACCCTGTCTCTTTTCTCTTGGCCCTTATAAGTGGCCCAAATATCACTCACTACCTTTTTCTTCTAAGAAAAAGCCCTTGTGCATTTTAAGTCTCGGTGGTGAACTCCATGAGAAGCTCGAGTTAAGTCTGCATGCACGGTTTTAAGTGTTCTAGTGATAGCAAAGATCCCTGAAAGGGGTTGGTGTGGCTAGCATCTGTACGCGGTAGCAGTCTAGAGTCTCACCTTCAGTGAAGGACGAGAAAACTAGAAACCTGGTGGAATTAGACAAACATTTAAAGACATATTGGTGGCAGGGTGCCTTTTAGAAATGAGTGTCTTTATGCACATTTTGCTTTTAGCACATTTGAGTTTATTGTGACTTTATGTATATTAGGGTGTCAAATGTTTTTTTTTATTATTTTTAATCTTTAATAAAAAAATACTGAATTCACAACTGATTGCATGGAGTGTGATACACTTCTAACCGGTTTAAAAAATTAAAAATACAGTTCCTCTTGTTAACTATTAACAAAAGTATGTAGATAGCATGGAAACAATGCCAGTAATTAAGCACTTAATTCTTGTACTAAGCATTGTTAGCTCAAGTATTGGAATTCAAATGTTTCTTTTGTTTAATACTAGAAGACACTTAAGTTACTGCAGTGAGCAAGGTCATGCTGGTGGAGGGTTGATCTTAGGCCACAGATTTTGAGGCTAGTTTATCTGGATGCCAGTCTCAAACTTACCCTACTTGATCTGCCACCTGAAGGTGTTGCTCATACATCTACAGCCCTACCTTCAGAAGCACTAGGCAAATCTTGTCCTGGGGCATGACTTCACAGGGGTTTCGGGTTTGTTTTTTTTGGGTTTTTTGTTTGGTTGTTTGGAGTTTTGGTGGGGTTGTTTTTTGCTCTTGAATGCAAAGTTGAATGGAGTGTGCAATGGATTTGGAAAGTATTCTTCAAAATTAAGAGTGTTTCTAGGGAACAGGGGGGACACCCTCAGCTGTCTTGTGCATGAGGTTTGACACCTCCCCTGTTCCTAGTTCTGGAAGATGCCAGGTTACTTATGCTGTGATAAAGGCTTTCAGAGAGCTGTCATTGTAAAGAGAAAGACAAAAAAGGATTGTAAAGTTGCTTAATACATGGAAGTTCCTAAACATAGAACAAGCAAGGAAGGAAGCAACCTAACTACCAAGGGACTAGATATGTAACTTTCTTTTGTTAACAACCCTATGGAATAATAAAAATGGAAACTAAGATACTGACAAGACCTTTCCTTTGTAATTTTCTTTAAGTTACCTGAGGTGGGTGTTCTTATTCAAAGATGGCCATCAGATTTGTTTGGTTTTTCTCATCCATTTTTGTGCTAAATTCCCTTTGAACTGGGGGAAGAAGGGCAAAAACCAGCCCTTGGGAGGTGACCTTTCTCCTTTAGGGAGGGAGGTTAGTGGTTTGAAGTGTAAATGAAGGAGAAGCCTGGGCCACTTGCACTACAAGTAACACCCTACACACAAGATGACCTCTCCGACTGAGCCTGCACCTCTCTAGCCCCAGTGCAAGGCCAGGTTTATTTTTATGAAGCTGCTTCCCCTGGGTATTACAGTGTTTGGTACTTCAGCCTCCAATTCTGCTAAATTAGCCCAGAGAACGATACCTGGCAGTGATCACCAAGGGCAGTTCATGCATTACACATCCATGTATGTTGCGCTGCTACACTACGCCCGAGCCCCTTGCTTTTCACATCTAGAAAATGCCCCTTTCTGTAAGGTGGCTCAGGAGGGAGGTAAAGCCCCAGCCCAGCCCGTGGCTCCCAACAGCACGCACGCACAGCGGCGCTAGGCTGCAGACGCTTGCCTGAGCTGTCTGTCCTCAGGTGTGACATCCAGGGCTGACCCTGGGCTGGCGCAGCCACTCCGTCCCCTCTGCTGCTGCAGGAACACCAGAGGCGGCTCGGCTCGGCTTCATTTCCATGAGATGAAAGACCCCCAGGTTAGGGCTCTTCTGTGACACTCCTGTGAAAGCAAGTGCAAATCCTGACACTTCGGTGACAGAAAAACAGCCAAGAGTCAACATAAAAGTGCCAGCTTTGGTTCAGCACTGGATGGGG